GCCGGCTCATGTCTGTGGGTCACGGTGGGACTGGTTAAGACGTACTAACAATCAGAGACAGCTTTAGCTATGGAAAATAATTAGCGTCGCAGTCTGTTAAATAGGTCAGACCCAGGCGGGTAGTTTTATCCCTCCCTTTCTGTAAGTTGGTCCGAGGTTAGCTCACGGGTTTCCCTTCCACCCATCCATCTGGCATCGCTGGTGCTGGCCCCGAGCGGTCCTCGCGCTGACATCAGCGCTCCAGGGCGGCTTCCCTACGGCAAGGGGCAGGGAAGACCGAGCTCTGGCGCCAGAGGCCAGCCAGCCGAAATCTGGTCCCCACTGAAGTCGCTGGGCACCTCCCCAGAGAGCGGGGAGACGCTGGGATCCCCTTTACTGGGGCAAACTGGCAGAGATGCAAGAGGAGTCCCCCCCGGGAGAGCTTGCGGCTCGGCTGCCTCGGGGATTTGCCTCACCGTGAGAGAAGACAAGGGTGGTGGCACAAGGTCCTCAGGGGCTCCTTGTGCGAGTGGCTCTGGTGGCGTTGGGGTGTCTCTCTAGCTGGCCGGGTGTACGTGGAGCTCTAACCTGCCATGAGCGGTGGCCGTGGGGAGGGGGGGGACAGGGTGGATGGGATCCCTGCCCCATCCCAACCTAACGCTTCCCATCACCTCCAGCGCTGAGCTCCCTCTGACCCAACGCAGCGTTGAACTTGGGATGGGGAGGGAGGGACACGAGCTGGTTGATATGAGCGGGTGTCCCCAAAGAGAACCAGGAGGAGGTGCTCGGGGTGGGGGGAAACCCTGCCCCGGGGACACCGAATCTCAGCATTCATCTGCTGCTGGCAGGAGGCACAAAGGCTTTCCCACCCGGGTGGCGGGTCCAAGCCCAGCCCTGGTGCTCACACAGAGGGGCTGGCTGAGCCAGGGGCCCGATCCTGCCCTGGTTACAGGGGTGGCAGCTCCGAGCTGGGCTGGGCTGGCTTGTACTGGGACAGCCACCATGGCACGGGCATCAGAGAGGAACAAGCAGGAGCAGCCCCACAGCATCCCTGGGGCAGGTGAATGGGACTGGGAGACATGAGGGTCTCCCCCCAGGACAGGGGAGAGACCAGCTGATTCCCAGCATGTGCTGGTGCCATGCCATGAGTCCTCAGCTTCTCGCTCATGAATTTTGGGGGGGGAATCACTTTGCAAGTCAGTCCCTACTTGCCACTGCCAAGGAGAGCCCAAAGCAGGCACGGGCAGAGCCCTTATCTCAGCTGAAGCACACCAGGAGGTGAAATGTTGTGCCCCAGCGAGCAGGAGCTGAAGGGAAGGGGGGGGTAAAGGGGGATAAAAGGGGACAAGGGGGTCCCCAACGGGCTGCAGTGGCTTTCCAGGGGGGTGATACAGCAGAGAGCCGCGCTCAGAGCCAGGACCCAGACTCCCTTTCTGCTCTTCCATGTGGCATTTATCAGCCCTGTCACCCTGGAATGGTATTTTTTCCTTTTTCTGTTCATTTTCATCTCTCCCCAGATGAGAGTTTTCCCCGATTTAAGCAACGCCTGCTCTGCTGCGGGCGGCGAGGAGGGGGCGTTCGCTTTATCTCCATCTCTTCCCCTCGCGAGCTCTGCCCCGGCCGCCCTCCCTGCTTCATTTTACTTCCTACAGAGCTGGTAAAAATAAACATGTTTTCGTTTGCATATATCCAACTGGCCTGCAATTTGGCTGATGGGGGAGCTCCTCGAGGGACGGCAGCTGCACGCATCTGGATTCGCTTTAGAAAAATGTGCCTGGAAAAAAAAAAAAAAGCCCAAGCCCAGCATGCACACGCGTGGGTGCACGAGGTCACGGGCCAGTTTTTTCTAGGGATGCCAAAAAAAAAAAAAAGGAAAGAAAAAAAACCCCAAACCCATCCATTCATGGATGCTGTGGTTTAGTGAGCTGAGGGGACCTCACTGCTGCTCTCCCAAAGCCAAAGCACTCAGGTGGGGCGGGAGCGAAGACGGGGATTTTCCAGCCACCCCAAAAATCGCTTCCCATAACCAATATAGGGCCAGGTCGCGATGAGCAGGGAAGGGAGAGGAAGGGTTTGCACTGAAAAATTAAAGTTCCCACTTGGAGAATATTAATCTCAAAGGTTAACATGTGAACTTTGCCTAAAGGTGAAACATCCCTGTACGGATATATCCTTGGCCCAGCATCCGCAGAGCACGGGGAATACATGAACTCATCGAAAATATGCGCTGCTGGCCCTGAGGTTTTGGCAGAAGTCAGTGAAGCCGTGCTCGTGAGAGTCCCGTGATGCACCCAAAAAAAAAAATAAATAAAAAAAAATCTAACAGTCTTGCTCCAAGTGACTGCGCTCCAGCCTCGCACGGGAGCAAAGTTAATGACTGAACAAGTCTTTTCCCATCTGCACGGGCCTAATCCTGACACCGGCCAGCAGCTGATGTTTGAAAGATGCCTCCACCAACCGTGCAAGGGATGAGAAGCTGCTTCAACATTCGGACGTGAGCCGCAGGCATCAGCCGCTGGCACTTTCGCGGGTGCAGGCTGGTGGGCTGAATTCCGGGGGTGCTGACCCTAAATGACAGCCCAACCTGCCAGCAAAGCGGCATCACTCGTCGCCCCGTGCCTGTCCCTTCCTTTTATAAACCCCTTGACCTTGCACACTGACGTGCCAAGGACAGCCATCCCCTGAGCAGTTATTTCCACCCAACACTACCTACGCCCGTGACGTGCCATGGATGCTGACTCCATCACTCCTCTCCACCTGTTTTACTGTGGGACATGGGGAGGAAAGAACTTCAAGACCAGGAAGAGCG